CACACACACACACACACACTAAATCTCATATATCACCCAGTTCGTCTCTTTTGGCACAGCCTGTGTTGGTTCATTTCCACCAGCTGAGTCTTAATCCGACTAATAAGATCATTTCTGCCCACATGCTGATTTTTTTTGTGAGAAACCAGATACCAACCGTCTACTCCAATTTTGCCATCGCTGTCATCATCAGCTGCTGAGATGAAGCTCTTGGTTTCTGCGTCAGTCAGTGTCCGTGCACTGGGGATAAACCGCTGCAGAAAAAACCTAGACGCACACACACAATGATGATATTTAGCCATGACTGATATTTATGGATGACAATATACGGCATGTTTTAAAAAACAGAAACTAATAAGAACACGGAGAAAGACACCACTTCCTAAACTGGACTGCACAAGTCAAACCTCTTGTCAAAAAAAGGTTGAATTGTGTAACAGAAATGAAATGAAAACACCACTCACAGTGGATTACTGCGAGACAGCTTAACATTCATCACAGTAATAGAGTACTACTGTGTGATTTAATGTACCAAGCCTCCTTCTTTCTTTTTTTCTTTCTATCAGAGAAATAATACGAGATAGATTCACATTAAATATGAAGCCACACCGCACTGGGTCAGTTAGTTGACGGTGTAAATCCTGGTAGAGGAACAAAAGTGCATATTGAAAAGAAAAGACTAAGATTCAGCGCCTCTGGGAGAGCAGACACCCCGTATCCTTTTACGCACTTGAGCTCAGAGTGCTCGATGTAGCCGCTGTTGTCCTCGTCGAGGATCTGGAACACATCTTTGACCTCCTTGGGTGTCTTTGAGGACAGGCCGCACAGCTTAAAGAACTTCTTGTAGCAGAAAGTGTCCGGAGCTGAAAGCATACAAATGTTGAAAAAAAGAGAAACAAATACAGAAACAGAGCTGACCCGTGAGGTTCACCGGGCCGGGAGGTGATGTGGAGATTAAAACGGCATGTGTCTGCAGCGACGGAGGGAGGGATTCCCCCCCTTTTTTTCTCTTTCTTTTTTTAAACTTTTAAAGCCAGCAGCCATGCCCCCACAAGTATAAAAAACAGAGAAGATTATTAAAACCCCTTTTTTAAAATAAATAAATAAATAAATTCCGATTTAAAGCGGGTGCGACTTTAGTAGCGAGGACACTGTACAATATTGAAAAGCTGTGGAGAAGATTATGCACCTTTCTGCAAAAACAAAAACAAAACAAAAAAAACTCGACTACAGCAACCGTTTATTCGGCATTTAATGTATTTTATTTTGCATATAAGTCATACAACCGTCATAACTGATCATTTTTAGGTACTGTGTGGTCCAGTGTGCATAAGTTGACATCCTACCTTCACAGTCCTTAATGGCATTTTGGATGTCGTCAGCGGAAAGAATGGATGTGAGTGACATGTTGGTCCTGCAAATAGAAGAAAAGTCTTAAAGAAACACACATAGGTCTGTATTTTTCTTTTTTCTAATTATCTTAACCTACATTTGGCTGTGTGATATCCTCTCAGCCCACTTTTGTATCACACTGGATTACCTTTTTTAATATCTGTAGTGGTATCTAGGTTAATATCATCATCCCATAAGACCTCAGGTTATGAGTTTTTGATGAGTGGGTTTCATGTGTTTTATGTACAATCTCTATTTTACCAAAAAACTCCAAACATATTTTCTGTCCTATCGTTGATGCCAGGTTAATTGTGCTTTTTGATTGGATCTCCCCTGCGAGCTTGTTAATCGGCTTTTTTTTTTTTTTTGGCCTTGTTTGAAGTGCTTAATTGGCTCTGTGCAAAAATAATTGGCACTTAGGGACTTTACAAGAAAAAAAATCAACAGAGGGAGGGAAGGAGTAAAATTTGTGATACTTAAACTTCCATTGCAGAACGAATAAAAAAAGAGAACTAGGAAAAGTTAAAACACCCTCTCCTGAGCGCTCGACAGCTTGCTGTCTTTAAACAAAAAATAAACGTAGATAAAAAATGATCTGCAAGTTTTTATCAGGTTGTTTTAGGGGAATCTGTTAAAAGCATGAGCAGAAACAGCCCGAACCTGTATTTTGGTCAAAAATCTCACCTTTCTGTCATGTTTGGAGGAATTAAGCAGTGCTAGACGAATTTAAAACTTTCGTCACGTCCCTGAAAAAGTAACCCAAATAGTCTAAAGGCTGTGCCACTGCACCAACAGACCACACCAGACAGATACCACACCTGTACTGAGAGTTTACCTGTGCAGCTGTGGGCTACTCACCGCAGTTGCCTCGGTCCGGGTCCAAAAGCAGCAGCAGCAGCAGCAAATAAGACTCTTTGGTGGCTGCCGACAGCTGGCTCTGCCTTATATACGACGAGTGCGATGCTTGAGTTTCCAATCTGTCCGAGGATCAAATTCTCCCGCAGCCAGCCGCCTCCGTCTCGTGTTCCTCACCCGCTCACCTGTCCAATTAACCTTTACGGTTTATATCCGCTGCACATTCTCCTATACTCTCTCTCCCTTTCCCCCGTTACTCATATGGCAGCGTGTGGTTCGTCCAATCAACTTTCTCCCCCTGTGTTACACTGCTCTCCCTTTCTCCCCCTCCCTTACATTTTCCCCATCCCATCGCTTCTCTTTTCTCTCTCTCTCTCCCTGCAGGTGCATTTGAAACCTTAAAAGTATCCAATAATCAGTCTGGCATCATTTCTTTGTTTTGTTTTGTTTCTTTAATGAAGAGTCTCTTTGATTTGGATGACTCAAGCAGGTCGTAATTTATCAGAAATACTCCATTACGCATGCTCTGATAGTAAAAATTCAGAAGTCAAAACCTCAGTGTTTGTTGCAAGTGAGCCATCAACCTGCCTAACAAGTTAACATGAAGATTACAAGTTTCTTTAGTGAGAATTTAGATATATGCATATCATTTGTTACTGTCAGAGGTTTTGAAGCTCTCACTCATGCACCTGTGCTAAAAGGTGAGAGGCTGGGTGGGGCCTGTGCTGAAGAGCCTGCTGGCAGCCTGCCACTCTAAACTGATGAATTTGTTTCCTGCAAAGGGGAAGCCTTCCAAACCATCTGACGCAGCAGCGTCTCTGGTGAATCCAGTCAGCACTAATGGCTTTAGGAGGGGGGGGGGGACGGACGGGTGCTTTCTGTAACTAGAACCAGGGGGAATAAATCTAATTATTTTTTTCAAACTTTCAATTGCTGCAAATCTCTGACTTAACACTTTGCAAGTAACAGCATTTTCATCAGTCTCACCTACTTGTTACACAAAAAGATGAACTATTTACCCCAAGAGTAACTCCACCTCTTTATCTCCAAGCCTCGACGTTTGCAACTTTAACCATCAAGCATCTGAAAGTCCTCTTTGTATTTATTTATTTTAAATGGCGACAC